CCAAGTTCTTCTGACTCTGGATAGCTGGAGGTCTCATGTAGCTCCTATATAAAGATGGCATCTAAAATCAGATTGTCAGGGGCCAGCCTGGTGGCACAGTGGTTAAGTTTGCATGTTCCGCTTCTCAGCAGCCGGGGGTTCGCCGGTTCGGACCCCGGGTGTAGACATGGCACTGCTTGGCAAAAGCCATGCTGTGGTAGGCATCCCGCGTATAAAGTAGAGGAAGATGGACATGCATGTTAGCTCAGGGCCAGTCTTCCTCAGCACAAAGAGGAGGATTGGCAGTAGTTAGCTCAGGGCTAATCTTCCTCAAAAGAAAAAAAAAGAAAGAAAGAAAATAAAAACAGACTGCCTTGTGCTAGGAGTCTGTTTGTATCCCATCTGACAAGGTCACATTCTCACATGCCTCTAACAGGAAGGGATAGCAATAGGAGTTCTCTCTATTTTAATTTCACTCTTGCTATGTGTCCAATGGATTCAGACACTGACTCTTCTTTCTGTGGGATAATGGAATAATGGAGGACTCACACCTTCTCATTTCTTGTTAATTCAGTTCTTTCAATTTTTCCTTCTCCCCAATAATGTCTATTCCTGAATTCACGCTGTTTGATATTGTGGAATTTGCCCTGAGGTCTCATAAAAGACAGATGGTGACTACAAATGGACCAAACATGCTCTTCTCTGTAGTCCTTTCACCTACTACCAAATCACCTCTTTTTCTTCCCTTCTGGGAGGTATTTGCACTCATTGATCCTATATCTTCCCTTCCTCTTTTCTCTTTTCTTATACTGCAAGAAACTTCTACTCTTTACCCTAAAACAGCTAAAAGATACTGTAATGCTGTTAATAAGCAAATAACAGGTGTTAGGAGCCAGGGAATTCTGGTGGTATTAGCCTTTTGTGGATCTAAGAGTTTATGGCCAATGTTATACGCATGGTTAGGGAACAGATTACCGTAAAGAGTTGTATAGCTTGAAAAATGAAATTTAGCTGATGCCATGACAATTTTCAAATGAAATTACCCAAATCCTCTGTCTACATTGTGTATTATCTGTAAATAATAGAACTGGATCTTGCCAAATATGCTAGGCCGTGTGTAGTCTGATTTCTCATGCTGCATGTGTCAGTACATTTTATCCTTACTGATTCCCAAGCTAATTTCTGGCTCATTATACAACAATTAAAAATCCAGCTTAGTGATCCAGATCCAGTGAGTTCTGTAGAACTTCCCGACCTCAGATTGGCTGTAGAAATACATAACAGGGAAAATGACGTGTCGTTTAATGTAATAAAGTCTGGTACGTGCATCTTTTATCCTAACGAGATATCAGATGGCCCATTTCAGTCCTCATGTTAAGTGGTTTTGTGCCAATGCTGTGATTTAAGAAGCTGCCGCATCACAGCTGTTTCTTTCGGCAGCTTATGTGCAGTGTGTTTTTCATAGTATTTTACTGTATAGCATAGTATTATACTGTATAGTTCATGTGATTCTTTATTCTCATGTTCATGCTATAGTACCGGTAATCACTTGTTCACAATAGCATAGGTGTAAACATAATGCCAATTACATTACAAAAGATTATTGTTGTCATAATACATTCACTACTCCTCAAGGGAGAGAACTTGATCCGGTGGCTAAATACAAATACAAAATAGAAAGCTACTTATTTTTGTGTTCCATTTAGATTTTTTTGCAACATGATTTAAATCATTGCATCCTAAACTTCAGGGCCTGTGTAACATATTCATATTTTTGCCATATTCATATTTTACCTCTACTATTATTCACTTCTTATATTCATATATCATATCGTCTTTTGTATATGCCTTCTTTCTGAGAAATAATTATCCCTGAAGCCAAATGTTTTACTTGTTATTTAGTTTTGTTCAAATAAACATATTCAAGTAAAACATAATTAGATTACACAATGTTTGTCAACATACCAATTGAAATCATCTCACACATCCCCAATGATAAATTAATTACAACTTTGAAAAAGTAGGTTATGAAACCACTGTCAAGTCTAAATATATCCCCTTCACACATACACCTCACGCCATACGTGCATATACACCTTCTCATACATGTATGCACAACACACACAGACACACAAGTACATATACGTGCAACGTACCTTCATTTGATAATTTTATTTTCCTTTTTGTATGTTAGTTTGGGTTTTATGTAGGAATTCAGAGTTAAAGTAACCACCTTCAACTTAAACAGTGAAAATATGATGGCATTGATGTTAAAGGACTTGATTTATAAAAAGGTGTTTTTTTAACAGCATTTAGCAAATGAAAATTAGCACCCTTGTTGCAATTCCAATTACTAATTTGCAATTTGCTAAAGAATTAGTGCTTTTTGCCAGCAGGTGTTAATTGTAACTAAAATGAGAATTCATGAGATCTTGGAGTTAGCTAGAGTCTGTCTTTCATTTTTACCCTGGAAATCTTTCCATGGAACGAGTTTCCATAAGCAATTATTGACAGGTTTGGAAAGTCATTTTTTTTGTAATTTCTGGAGTTTGCAATTTCTTACTTTACTGTGGAGTCATCGTGATGACATCTGTGTGGGAAACATTAATTTAATCTTCAGGGACAAATCAAAGCTTGATCTCTAACAATGAATAATTTCAGTGGTGGTGCTGGTCTGCTAATATACTTCCACAATTACCACTGACATACCATAGACTTAAAAAGATAAATTCCTTTTTATCAACATATAATTTTACACTAAATAAGAATAGAGTCAATTGGAGGGTGAACAAAAAGAGGTTCAAAGCTACTTGAATCAGAATAAGAACCAGTTAGGGTTACAGAGGCTAGGGAATAAGAATCCCATGAATCAAGTAGTAGTAGGCTGGGCAGGGATTGTGAAGGTCCCTTAGCTTTTATAATGTCCATAATGTTCTCTAGCTACTCAGTGGCTCACTAAATGATTGTTGAATGGAAGAATTGGAAGAATTAGAATTATTTGGCCCATAATATACTGGAATGTGCACAATGAGCTGATATAACAGTTCTCCACGGTCATAATCACACACACAAAAAGGATAAAATAAAATCTCTTGGATTAAGCTTAAGTAGTTGACATCCGTTTATAACATTAAAAATTTAAAATGGAAAGAAAAACACATGCAATGATTGGCATTCTTATGTGAAATTTGTTTTTCTAATCAAAACGTGTTTTCATTCATGTTCATTTCTATTATCTTTCCCTTTATGTTATTTATGCCTTGCAAAGCCTTTTCAAATAAAGTAGTTATAGTGAATTCACTAATGATAAACGTTTACAGTAGATAAAAGAACCTTATGGATTTAACTTAATGAGTTGAGCCCTGAAACTTCCCAGAGACCTAGCTATAGAACGCAATAAAATTTTGCTTGTAAGAAAGTTCCATTTCTAAACCTTGGAGAATATTGTCATTTTGTTGGGATAATGTCAGTGGGGCTGAGTTGGGAAGAGCTGTACTTATACCCCACATGTCTTCAAAGAAACGGAATGAGTCAGTGTCCCACTTTTGCTAATGTGTTGAGGGCAGGGCCCAGTGGGAAGCTGAACATACATACTCACCTGGCCTTCAGCAGAGAGACTGCTTGCTTAACAAAAAAAGGAGTAATTATGATAAGGTGCCTCATTATATCATTAATTTTCCAAATGTCCATTTTCTATTTAATAGAAAATTACTTATCATACTAAGAAGCAGGAAAATAAACGTGATCAAGAAAAGACAACCAACAAACTGAATAGATACTAACACTGAGATGAATCAGATGTTGCCTGAGGGCTAGTGACTGCTATGTATAACTATATATAATGCTATATCTGGTATTACTATATTCTTTAGAGTTTTCTTTACATTGTACTGCCAATCCTCATTACTTGAATCTCCCGGTTTAGTTAATAACTCATTATATTATATTTTTCTTGTTCAAATTACTGTGTTGTTTCTCCCTTCTAACTGGACCCTGAGTATTAAGGAGGTAGAGAAGGGTTGTGTGTTTGGGGCTTCTCTGAGCCCTCAGGTTCAGCTACCCCTGATATGTGCCAGGCTGTCGTCACGACTTCTTTGAAGCTACTGTGAGAAGAGTCAGAGGAAGAGGAGAAGAAATGGCACTTGGCCTAGCGGTTGACAAATAGGGATATTCATTTTATTGTAAGGTATTTGATTTCCACAGTGGTGACTGAAGTGGCAATCCAGGGGAAAACTGGTGTGTGAGAGAAGTATACAGAAAGGGAAGGAGGTACATGTAAATGTTGCAGTGGAGTATAACTTTAATCCCTTTCATTGATGTCAGTAAATTCAAGGGAAGAATTTGAGATATTTTGAATAATTTTGTTGGGTAAATGATGTTTCCTTGACCATGATCCAGTTCCAAGACTAAGTACTGTGGAGAAAGTATCACAGCAACCTGGTGTAGACTGCATGGAGCTGGGTACAGGAAGGACTAGGAGGGAGAAACTATCTTCCTCTCCTAAATGAAGGCCAGGGCTGCTGCTTCTGCTACTAGAGTCCTCTGACCTTGACCAGAGGTTTCCCAAGTCAGGCTCAGTGGTAGTGTAAGGAAGATTCAAGTTGGGAAGACGGAGAGAGTTCTGTCCAGCTCTCTTTCAGCTAGAGCTTTATCTGGCCTGCAATATCTAGATGTGACGGGCAACTGACTTTTGGGGAATGCAAACTAGTTTTTCGTGTGCCAACTATATTAAGTTGAGACTCAACAGAATAACGCAGGCCAAATTTCTAAGTCCCAGAGGAAGAGGGAAAGGGAGGAACCCTTATTCTCTCTCAGTCCTAAAATTTGTCCCATGAAAATCACAGTAGGTGAGGGGATATACACTCAGAGAAGGGTGAAAGAGGCAGGCGAATGGAGTAATCGTTTTCCATTTTTTGAGGTGTATGCTTCTGATCCCTCTTAGACTGAGAGTGCTGGGGTTCTGATTGAACTGGCATGGTGAGAGGTGTTTGAGTATATGTAAAATTGCTGACTTCAGCCATTCTGTGCGCAGTACCCCATTCCAGGAAGTGCCAAACATGTGGCTAGATAAATGCTTGGCATCTCTTAGAGTGAGGTAATGCACAACAAGTACGACATAGATGGTGGTCCTAGAGGAGGGGCTGTGGCCGTCTGAGTCCTTCCTTGAACCAAGGCACCAACCTTTCAATGCTGGGCCACATCAGTACATGCCTTCTAAGGAGTAAGACATAGGGAACGAAGGCCCCTGGGAAAATCTTCATATGTATGTTCTTGAGGAATTTAGAAGTTTGTTAAAAAGAGGCCTGTGCATGTGAGACCATGACATGAAGTATAGTTATGATACCCCTGTTCCCACTGATTTTCCTTTCTGCAGAACCAAATTTCCTCCTTTTGGGATCCAGCTTTAATCATATTCGAAGTCACTGAAGACTTAGATGTTGAGCATGGTTAAATTAGATGAGGTTCTGTCAGTCTATTATACAGATTTCAATTCTTATTTATTGATATGTGTATACTTGTTTGTTCACTTATTTTGTTAGTTATTATGTAAAGGATGGGCAAAGAGAAATCATGGTTCAGAACTCTTGATAATGATAAAATATTGCATTTTTTCCTCTTATTTACCTTTGGATTTCCATTCTTAACTCTGTGCACTGAAGAGGAGAGAGAAGATCGCCAGTAGTTGGAGACCATCTGCAGAACTGGAGCAGTGCACGGGAAGCACGTTATAAATTTTACATTCTTATGTAGGAACGTAGACAGAATCTTGATGCTCCTACAAAGGTAAGCCCTCTTTAACCGAATCAGTGGTTATGGAAAACTAGGGTTTTTGGTATTCCTGTATCTTAAACAGGAACAGGTTCACCTCCACTTCAATCCTTGGTAAAAATTTGGATTGTGACCAACAGGAAGAAATTTTTTCTATTTGTCTCCTAACATTATTACCCATGTACAACCTGTGTCCACTGCTTATGGTGTCTTCTCTCCTCCTTCGCATGATCTAAGGGTTTCCCTGACAGAAAGTCTCGCTGCTCCGGATGTGTGTGAGCAGTGACTGCGACACCATTGAAGATTGTTCTCACGTGTAATTGTGTGTTTATTTTTGAGAAGATGTGAGAGCATATGTGTGAGTGTGTTTATGCGTAAGTGTTCTGGAATATGGAGGGATTCTTGTCTGATGCTGGGGTGGCCCTGTAAGGTTTTCAGGAGGAAGATGTGTGGGAAAAGCTGACACAAATGATATACCCATTCCAAACATGGCTATGGTACAGCTTCTAAATAGAAGTAATATGTTCCATGGAACATGAAAATATTACTGCTGAGTATTGCTTTTGGACTTCATCATGGATCAAGTGCCTTAGAAATGGCCTCAATTTGAAAGTAGACTCTGAAGGAAATAACCCCTTATTCAAAGGTACCTGTTTCAAATATTCAAAGGAATATTTTAGAGACTTAGAAAATAATAAACTCTGTGACTCAACATTTGAATAACAAAAGCATTTAAAGGCAGCAGAGGGAATATCTGAGAGGAAGAATGAGTGAGCACAGAGAGACGGCATAAGGAATGGGCATCTCATGAGTGAGAGAACAAATGCGAATGTGCATTCAGGAGAATTCTATTTCCTTACACATTGACTGTATCATAAAGATATGAAATCACAAATTAGTACAACAGACATAGCCTGGTTCTTGTTGACACCATTTCAGAAAGGTCACATATGAATGTTAGCTTCAGCTGTGCAGTTGGAAGGTCAGAGGAGGTGCCCCTTGTCTAACAAAGAGAAAGGGACCAATCAGCCCAGGGACTTGGGAACCTGGGACTATATCATTTTAGTCTTTTTTCCCAGGTCTCTGGCAGAACCAAAACACTCAAGTTTACTATACACTCAGGTTTAGTACCGAACTGCCCACTTCAAAGAACTCTCTGAATTCTTACTCTCCGGCCTAAAGACAAACACGAGGGGATGCAGCTGTTTTTACTTTGTTCTCCAAGTGGGAGCATCCTCTCTGTCCCATTACACTTCCTTATATTGTGATGACTGGCTGCAGGGCAAGGCTGAGGTAGAAATAAATACCAGACAAAAGACCATCAGAGCTGAAAGAGGCCGTGGGGATTTTGTCCATAACACACTTCTTATCACAGACTACACACTTGGGTCCCAGATGGCTCAGATATATTTATTGAAGATGTGGAAGTTCTAACAGTTCTGTGAAATGGGAAACTGACTGACTTTTTAGTCTGTTGAAGGGAAAAAACACCTGGGAAAGTCCAGCTTGAATGTCCCTTCTCTGAGTCTTTTTTCTCTGTCCGCGGTTACTAACTTAGCCAGAAGTATGTTTCCAAGTCCTCTTTCCCCTCTCTTTTCAGGATTTGTCTAACATGGCTCCCATTGTCTTAGACTATGACTTGTTTCTGGTTTCCTATCACTTTTACATGCACTCTTTCATCTTCTGTCAGGTTCTGTTGGTCATCGGACAGTCAGAGTGCTGGGCGCCTCTGTCACAGAGTGGAAAAGTGGGAGAATATACTGTCAACAATCAGACCTCTGATCAAAGGCAGAGATAATCTAGAGCTGAGAGGAGGAAAAAAGGACATCACTAGGATTTAAGCTCATCTCTCTCATAATTGAACAGTGTAAACGGTTAGTTTCCTCTCAAGAGATAAAGGAAATGTGATTTCTGCTCTCTCAATATTTGCACCCCTTGACTGATCTCTCCTTTCCTTCCTAAGGGTTTTAGTGTGTTTTCATTAATATTATGTGGATTTGGAATGAAGGGATTTGGGGGTACCAGAGTGTGTGTGGGGTATTGTAAGTATTTTTTTGTTGTTTTATTTTGTTTGAGTTTAGTTTGGTTTACTTTGGGGAAAGCAGATATTTTCAACACTTAGTTCCTAACAACTTGAAAAACAAAAGATTAGGTAGAACAAAGACATTTCTTAAATAAGGAAGGGAAACCAAGAGGCTTATTCTCTCTTGGGCATGAAAATCATCCAAGGATACATAGGGCAGGTGAGGGGAAACTTACTCAGGGACAGATGGAAGTTGGAGGGCGGTAGGGTGGACCATGCCAAGTTCTTACAGAGAAATGGTGAATGCCATGCTGTGGTAGTGGAGATTGAGCAGATTTGAGAATAGCTACATTGGTGTAGGGTGGATTGGGCAGAGAAGCCACCTGAAGCCATGCTGTGTGCAGTGCCCTATTTAGGAAGACGCTATTCACATATACTGTATTATGAAGTGTGCCTTTCTGAATAGTGTAATGCTCAACGAGTACAACTTCTGTGGTGGCTGAAGTCCCTGAGGAAAATTTGTCCCAAATAAGTCATTCACTGGTCTATAATCCTTTATTCTAAAGAGATATGATCAATGAGAAGGATATTTGCCCTGGGGATATAGCTCTTCCTGTATTCTGCTAAGGAAAACTCCCTGATTTAGACAATACCAAGACTCGGTCAACATGGTGCTCTCTATACTCAGCAATATAATCCTACTCCATCTTCATAAGAGCAACAGGGATCCCTGGTGGACTCTCTGTTGGAATTTCAACATGATTTTAGGCAGGTCCCATATAAGCACAGGACATCAGAAAACCCCAGGTTGGACATGGACCTGGCAGCTAAGATTAAATGGGATATCCTCCGATTTGTTCAACTGAGAAATCACCAAGCATATACTGTATGCAAATCCATCTGTGAGGTGCTGCAGATACAGTAAGACAACAGGACAGGCAGAACGTGCTGACTTCCAGAAGCTGATATGCTGCTAGCACAAATATATGATAGCTAGTAAATGAGTGGACTATGAACTATGTGCAACAGCCCGAAGTACTGTGGGGAAACAATAAAGTGTATTGAGAGTTGGGCAGTGCTCCAGAAAGGAGGAGATGTGGCAATTTCAGGTAGAGTGGTCAGAGAAAGCTTCACTGAGAAGACACTATTTGAGTAAAGTCCTGAATTAGGTAAGGAATAGAATCAATCTCCAGTCTCTCAAAGCTCCAAAATGTCACCGCTTCCTAGACAGTGAAAGGCAATCTCAGTTTTTCCTGTTGATTTTTTCTTGTTGTCCATATCCAATTCCACCCCACATAGTTCTTTCCTGTTCCAAGAGATTTTGTGATGCAAATTCATGGGAATATTGAGGCACTTTGGTTTGAGAAGTGAAAAGGAAAGGGGAGCACACAAACAAAGAGGCTGTCAAGCTGTGTAATAGATCCCCAGGACAGGAGAACAGGAGTCAAGGGAAATAAGAAAAAAAAATAGCTGTTGCCATGATTCTTTATGTAGAGGGGCTTTCTCTTCCCTGGGAGGTTTCCAAAAATCACCAGTCATAAATTGAATGTGTTTTTCAGGAAAGGAAATTGAAGATATTTTAAATTATGCTTTTGCCAGCACTGATTATCCTTGACCACGAGGAATCCAGATGCCAGACTGAAACATCAGTTTCTTGTCTTAAAGGAGTTGCAGCTGCCTGTTAAACTGATCGTGGCTGTGCACAGGTATGTCTGGGAGAATAATCTAACTTGCTATCCTCTACCAACCTAAAGCCAGTACATGGCTATGGTGGCTCATGCTTGTGCTTCTGCATTCCTACTAGAGTGAACTGAGAACAACCTAGCACAAGACAACATGGTGGTAAAAGGGAAGGATTAATTGGGCAGATAGATTGCAGTCAAGCTCTCTGATAACAGAGCTCATCACTACTGCCATGTCAACAGGAGATTGGATCCTCTCTACTACATTTACTTTATCTCCCATGGGAAATGGAAAGGAAAGTGGTGTTTCCTCATTTTGGGTGATCTGCACAGAGAGAACAGAGACAAAAGTGGCCAGTAGTCCTTAAGACACTCATTTGGGAAGAGTCAGTATGATGGCGAATAATGTTGAGAAGTGTTTGTCTTCTTGGAAATACTGGTAGATTTGGAAAAAAATGTGGGGCTTCCTGCATCTGTGAATATAGGCCACAAATTTTTCCTGTTAAAGAAAGACAATTTCAAGACTTTCAGACACAAAGATGATTTCCTTTACCTCAGTCTTCATTGTTGTTTCAATGAAAACATATAAACTAGGTATGATGTTTCCCAAACCTGCCCACCTCCCTATCTAAAAGACCTTTCAGACTCTAGTTGTCAAGTTCTAAAACAAACTCCAATTTAAGACTGGGAATCTTCTCAGCTGAACTTCCTTCCAATGTTTTCAGGCTCATTATATATATGTATATATATATATATATATATATATATAGTTTAGCATTTTGTTTTATATACAATACTACAGCTTCTTTTTAGTGAACACTTCTGTGAATTTAGCTGAATGTGAAATTTGTATAGCAGTGACAAAGTTCAAGATAAGAATAGTACCACAATGTCAAAAAAAAAATCCTATCAATTCTTTTGGAGTCAAAACTTCCCTCAATTCCCCGACTCTGGAATCCGTTTACCATGCTTGATTCCCTATATTTTGGGGCTCCAGGCTCAGTATTCCCAGAGAAACAAGGGCATCTAGTACCATGTATCTTAGATAAAAAATGCAAAAACATGCTGAAAATGGCCTTTCTCCAGGAAAAGGCTCAGAAAACCCAGGTGCTAAGAAGAATGTAAGGGCATCCCTGGGCTCCAAGCTCATATCTGTCTTGTAGATCACTCCTGTTAAGTAAAAAGTTTTTTCTTTTTAACTGCAGAGTCTGAGAAAGAAAAGGGGCTTCTACTCTCTCCATCCCACCAATAACTGATCATTTTCTCCCGCTTTGCTTTCAGGATCTTATGTGTTTTCCCTGCTTATTCTGTGGTTCAAGTTGAGTTAAGTAACTTAGGTAGAGGGTCTCAGACCTTTGAGTGATAAGGCTGAAGTTGGTGTGATGGAGGGTATTTTCTGCATAACTGGATCTGAGGAATGCAAATTGCTTAGTAATGCTTTATTATAAGAATGGGGAAAAGAGCAAGATAAGGCATGCAAGGATATTTCTTCCATGAGTAAGAGAACCTAGGAAAAAGGCTTAAAAGTTTTCAGTTCTGGAAACTGCCATATAAAACCTGCAACATATGAGAGGGTGGCACTTGGGAGGGATGGATGAGGAAAGACAGTGGCGTGGGTGCTGCACAGGTCCTTTGGACAAATATCAGTGGCCACTTACAGCCTGAAAACATTGTATGATTGTTTCAAAAGTGCATGAGTGTATTTTTAGGTGGGGCTATCATCCCTAGACATTCTTTTTGTGGTACCCTACTCCAGAGAATGGCAATCATGTATAACTAAATGTGATTGACACTTCTGTGAGTGGAATAATGCATGACTTGTACAACATAGACGATGGCACTGTGGGTGCATTGGGAGTGTTTAGTTGCATGCAGAGGCATGCTTTCTTTAGAGTGCAGGTATGCACCTCCCCCGACCCCCGACCATCCTAGCCCCTCGTGATAGTTTCCATCAAGGCAACTCTCTTAGGTGCCTTTTTAGAGACAAGCCCTAGGAAATGAAGGTTCCATGAGAAATCTTCCTATTGTTTCTTCTGGGATTCATATCCCTTTTTCCCAAAGTTGCCTGACAGAAATGGGAAGAAAACTTTCAGTGCAGTCATGGTGTTCCTCATTGCCTGTGGAGTATTTTTCCTTTTTGTAGAAACTTTTCCCTACACCATCCCAAATCCTTTAACCTGTTCTCCCCGTCAGCTCCCCTCACTGTTTTCAAAGCTTCTCCTTTAGGCCTTCCCAAACTCCAAACTGCTTCTCATTCTCTACCCTCCTGAAGCTCAAATCTTTTTAGTCTCAGGTGTTGAAGCTCCTTCTTTCTTCATGGTCCTAGAAGACCATTCTTTTAAAAATACCTTTGAATCAACTATAAGTTACCAATTTTTTAAGGTTTATGCATAATACCCAGAAAATTTTACTCATTGAAATGATTTTATTTTGTTACCTGTTAAGAGTTATGTACCTTTTGTTATCGTACAGAGGAGGCAGTTGGAGATGGCAAGCATCATATGCTCCAGTGTATCATCTGGACTGGAGAGGTGTCAGTGAAGGAAGACACACATTTTACATCCTCATGTTGTACAAAAGAAGGTAAGCTGGTGCCTCCCCTCTAATTCTGATCAAGGAGTTGAGGTAGAAATGGGCCCTTTTGGTATTTTGTCTATAATAATAAGCCATAGGGATCACCATACTTCAATCCTTTGTAAAAGTTTACTTATAAGAAGGGAGAAATTGTTCTCTTGTCTCTTACCATCATGGTCATTCTAAAAATGTGTACTGATATTGATCACAGTACTTTGATTGTGGTTTGATTTTGGTTTTTTAAAATTTCATTTTCTGTCTTTTCATATATTTTTATATGTGTTTTTGAAGACAGTTTTGGGATGTTTTATGTATGGGATTTAGATGCAAATTTTTTTATGTGTTTACTTATTTTCATTTTGAGTCCTTGATTATTTGGTTGTTGTTTATCTGTCTTATCTGTAAATAAATGGGATATAAAGCAGCCCTATGCCCTAAAGGCTCCCTCAGTTCCAAAGAGATTCACAGACAGAATTTTGTTCTTGGATCACTGACCCTGAGAAATAACCATTTAAAGATTAACCTACAATAGGACTCTCCTTTTAAGGTGGATAATTCTCTGGGTTTTGAAAAATACGTATCATACTGTATCGACCACCATGGTCATGAAACAGAAGAGTTCCATTGCCCCCAGATTACCTCATACTGCCCCATGTAGTAAAACCCCACCCCAACCTAACCCCAGAAACCACTGCTCTGTTTTCCATCCTTAAAATTTATCTTTCCCAGAATAATATATAAATGCAATCACACAGTATATTGCTGTTTGGTCTGGCTCCTTTCATTTAACAAAATGCATTCAAAATTCTCCCATATTTTTATGTGAATCAGTATTCTCTTTATTTTTATTTCTAAGTAGTATTACAGGTCAACGTGAAGGAAATCTCAGTTGTTTCCAGTTGTTGGTGATTATAAACAAAGCTGCTGTAAACCATTACATACAGATATATGTGTGAAGACAAGTTTCTTGTCACTATAAATAGTATAAATAGCTAGAATATAATTGCTATGTCTATGCAAAGTTTATGTTTAAATTGGTAAGAAATTGAAAAAAAAAATCCTGTTTTTCAGAGTAACTTTACTATTTTGTGTTTCCATGCGAGATACATTTGCCCAAATAATCACCAGCACTTGGAATTTACAATTTTTAAACAATTCTATAATGTTTGTAGATTTAGTAACTGATTTACAATGTTTTTATATTTTGGTTTAAGCTTGTACTTCTTTACTGACTAATTATATTGAGTGTTTTTTATGTACTTATTTGCCATCCAAAATTTTCTGTGGTGAACAGTCTGTTGAGATATTTTTCCCAATTTATTGAGTTCTTTATTTCTCATTGTGGAATTTTCAGAGTTTATTGTATATTCTCATTATAATTCTTTTACCAAAAATATAAATTGTGTATATTTTCTCTCTCTGTGGTTTATTGATTTAATTATATTGTGCTTTCAATGTGATATCTGGGCTTTTAGTCTTAGATATATGAATCTTGGTGGACAGATTTTCTTTCAGCATTTTGAGTATGTCATCCCACTGTCTTCTGCCCTCCATGGTTTCTGATGAAAAGTTAGCTGTTAATCTTATCGAGGATCCCTTGTATGCAAAGAATGGATTTTCTTTTGAAGCTTTCAAAATACCCTGTTAAAAAACAAACAATAAAACCCCCACAAAATTCCCTCTCTCTCCCTGTGCTCTGCCAGCCCCAAGAGATTAAATATAATATCTTCCAGTCAGGATTTCTTTGTGTTTATCCTACTTTGGGTTTGTCACACATTTTTGATGTGTAGATTAATATTTTTCATCATATTTAGGGAGTTTCAGCCATATTTCTTTAAGGTTTTTTTCTGATTCATTCCCTTCCTCCTCTCTTGGTATTCTCATCGTGCATATTTTGTTGTGCCTTCTGATGTTCCACCATTCTCTGAGGCTCTACTCATTTTTCTGCATTCATTTTACTCTCTATTCTTTGTAAAGTATTATCACTATCAACTTGTTTTCAAGTTATTGATTCCTTCTTCTGTTAATTCAAATCTATTGTTGAGCTCCTCTATTGATTTATTATTTCAGATATTGTGCTTTTAAACTCTAGAATAGTCTTTTCTTACAAAATATTCTCTACCTATTTTTTGATATACACATTTGACAAGATATACATCTTGATATTCATGTCATCATAACTTTCTTTACTTCTCAAATAATGGCTTATTTCTTTCAAAATATAATGTTTGCTTTAAAGTCTTTATCTATTAGTATGATATTTGGAACCTCTCACAGGAAGTCTCTGTTGTCTGCTTTTCCTCTATGTATGGGATACATTTTCCTTTCCTTTGCATGTCTCAAAATTTCAATTGAAAGCTGGACATTTTATATGATTAATTTATCAATGCTGGATAATTATCCCGTTTCCCTTGGATTGTTTTGTTTTGTCATTGTTGTTTTCTGCTGGTTTATTTTTATACTGACTTGGCAATACTCTATTAGTGAAGTTTCGTCTGCTGCATGAAGCAATTTGTGTTTTTTTTTTTTTAATTAGGGCACAGTCTTCAGTATGCACACAGTCATTCTGAGAAGACAGTAGTTTTAGTGGAGCACTCTTTGACTCTTTCTTTTCCTGATCTCTCTGTCAAGCTGTCTGCCTCTGTGTGTATCACACCTAGCCCTTACACTTCCTCGTTGCAGGCAGATTGTTATATAGTTTTCAAAATGCTATAGGCAAAAATTACTCCAGAGTTTGATCTAAATAGTTCGGACTCTTTTGTGTGGGTAGTTTTAAGGTAAGTCTTTGAGATTTGTTCTGCTACCATGAGGGCTTTTATTAACTATCTCTTCCCTGGATCTCTCTGGTAAACAAGCTGGTCGTTTTTTAGCTTGTTTGCTCTGGGAGTCCTATAGGCTCATTTTATTTACTGACCACCAAAATCTACGTTGATTTTGAGAATCTGGTTAGGCTTGACATTTCTCACATTCTGTTACAAATAAAGTCATGCTCTTTAGGGAGAGCCTTAACGTTCTCTGTTATTCAAGCCAGCCTCTCATACTGGGAAACATATTGGAATCACTAATCTGGAACTGGCATTACAGGCAGCGGCCTGCTTCTCTTAGAGTGACATTTCTGCTTTATAAGGAGGATGCTTATCAGTGGCAATAGATCTTGGTCTCTTGACTTGCCACACCTAATGTGTAACCTCTACCCAATGACTGAGCTGGGGCAAAGTAAATTAGAGATACAGTATTCTCAGATGCTGCACCTGTGACAGAGCCACCACTCTGTGATAGTGGGCTGAGTGATGAAACAGTGCCCCTGAGCTCTTGCCACATGCACCTGGTATTTAGTTTCTGAAACCTTAAACTAGGTTTGTGGAATGTATGAGAAATTCTAGAGGACTGCAACTTCCATGAGTACACTGTACCTCTTGATTGGGAGCTAGAGGGAGAGTCTATGGCCTTTCATAGACCATAGTCACCCTAAATATTCAAACTGCTGCCTCTAGCATCAATTCACCATCTCTACGTCCCTATATAGTAGTGTCTTAGACTGAGTTTTTCCAGGGAAATGTAGGCACCATATAGCATATCTCAGAGTGGGAAAATGCAATAACATGTTCTAAACAATCTTGTTTTGGGGAAAGACTCAGAAAACCCAAGAGCTGAAGGAATGTAAGGGCATCCTCAGGTGTCAGGTGTATTTTACATCTTGTAGATCACTTGTAGAAGGTAAAATGTGCTTTTTACACCAGTATGTCTGAGGAGGAAAAGGGATTTCTACTCTCTTCATGCCACCACCTACTGTTTATTCTCTTGTTCTTTACTTCTAGGATCATGTGTGCTTTCCTTGATTATTCTGTTTCTCAGGAGTTTAAGTAGGTAACTCAGGTAAAGGGACTTATATCAGGTGAGTCAAGCATGGGCTGGCGACATGAACTATATTTACTGCTTAATTAATGGATCTGGGAAATACAAACTATTTGTCAATACTTTATATATAACAATGAGAAAAGGAACAGGATAAGGTATGCAAGGATATTTCTTCCATGAGCAACAGAACCTAACAGTATGAATTAATATTTATCAGTTCTGAAAACTGCCATGTGAAAGCTCCAACATGTGAGTAGACAGCACACAGGAGGGAAGTATGAGGACAGACAGCGGATTGAGTGCTATAGAAGTCCTTTGTACAAATTCCACTGGTCACTCACAGCCTGAAAACACTAAAAGGTTATTTCAAAGGTGCATGAGCGGCTGTTTAGGCAGGGCTGCCATCCCTAAACATACTGTGTGTGGTACCCTACTGCAGACAGTGGCAATCATGTATAATTAAAAATGATTGACACCTCTGCAAGTGTAGTAACACATGACACATGAGATATATGTGATGACACCGTGGCTGCATTGGGAGTGTTTAGTTACTTGCAGAGCCATGCTTTCCCTAGAGTGCCAGTAGGCCACTCTTACACACCCTCCATCCCTGTGCTGGACTACTTCAGAGAACTCTCTTAGGTACCTTCTCACAGGCAAGGCCTAAGAATATAAGGTCTCCAAAATGCATCCCACTGAGTTCTTCTGAGACTCATATCAATTTTTCTAAAGTTGCCTGATTGAAATGGGAACAAGGCTTTCTGTGCTATTATGTTGTTTCATTCTGCCTGGGCAGTAGTACGTATTCCTTTTGCAGAACTTATTCCTTACCCAAAAAAACAAATTTGTTAAAGCGTTCTCACCGATTAGCTCCCCTCCCTATTTTTAAGGCTTTTCCTTAACTTTCTGAGGCTCAGAATATTTTCTATCTCAGGTATGAGAGTTTTTTCTTTCTACATGTGCCTAGAATATGCTTTTGAAAGAGTTTTTGAAACCCATTTGAATCACCAATTTATTAGGGTTTGAACATCAAACTGAGAAACTTGTTTCTCTTGATATTATTTTTTGTTGTCCCTTTTTAAAAAATCTATGTATCCTGGGGCCAGCCCGGTGGCACAGAGGTTAATAAGTGCACACGTTCCACTTCAGCAGCCTGGAGTTCGCTGGTTCAGATCCCGGGTGCGGACATAGCACCTCTTGTCAAGCCATGCTGTGGTAGGCGTCCCACATATAAAGTAGAGGAAGATGGGCATGGATGTGAGCTCTGGGCCAGTCTTCCTCAGCAAAAAGAGGAGTATTGGCAGCAGATGTTAGCTCAGGGCTAATCTTCCTCAAAAAAAAAAAAAAGAAACAAATCTATATGTCCTTACTTTTGCTCTTGCTTTCCTTTTTGTGTCCCTTCCTAATGCAGTGAGGAGAAAGAAAAAGAGAAAGAGGGAAAGGGAGAGAGAAGACAGAGAATCAATAGACCAATAGTCCAGCTCGTTTTATTATTGAGCAGGGTACTAGTCACAGGTGAAGGACGTCAGAGTTTTTTCTAGTTGTTAGCAATTATGAATAAAGCTACTCCATATATTTGCATACAGATGTTCATGTGAACACAAGATTCATTTTACTTGTGTAAATATCTAGGTATGTCAACAGCAGTTTCCAATTCTGTAAGTAAGGAGCTTGGAAGTCACCACTTCATCCTTACAACAAATAAAAAGCTGAGTAGACTGAAAAAATCAACCACTCTTCTTGGATTTGTAGGAAAGGGAGGAAATAGAGCAAACAACTGCCTCCAAGATTGGAGAGACAAACAAGCTTATGAACTCAGAGACTCAGGAGCAGAAACCACTGTGGGAACTAGTGCCAAGGTAGGCAAACCTGAACTCTAATGGATGAGTTGCTGCAGGCTCAGTGTGGACAGCTCCAAAAGTTAAAAACTCCAGTGGGACCCAGTCATGGAGGGGCCCTACAATTTTGTAAGATTTACCTTCTGGGGATTGACAAGATTCCCACAGTAAATATCAGAGAAATAACCCCTTGGCCTTTTGGCATCGGGAGGGAAAAAGGAATCATTTTGAAATAAGCCAGAGCACTCTGCTCTTTTGAACAAGGCCTGCCTACGGGAGAAACTAGTTAACCACAGCCTAACCTGCTGGGGTATTATCAAGAGCCAAATGGGCATGGGAAAGGGAAACACCCAACTCCAGCTGGCTCTGGCCTTTTATCTGGGAGAAGGGAAATACACAGCTCGAGCCCACTCCAGCAATCCTGTCCTACCTAAGAAGGGAGGAAAAAGTGAGAGACACTTGTGAAGTTCACAGTCCACAGGCATAGACTTAGAAAAGCATGAGGCCTAATCACAGGACGATGAACACTTCCTCCCCCTTCCCCCCCCCCCCCCCCGCCACAGTACTGAAGGCCTATTTACAGCAGTTCCTTTCACCCAGTACATCATGTCCAGCTGTCTGTGTGTAAACACAAGTTTCATTTTACTTGTGTAAATAGCTAGGAGTGGAATTCGTGGGACTTATGGCAAGTGAAGATTAAACATAAAATAAATTTTAAGACATTTTAAGAAAAAAGCCCTTTAACAGAACTACTTTAACATTTTGTGCTGCCGTAAAAAATGTATCAAATTTCCAGTTACCCATATCCTCAGCAGCACTCAACATTGGCAGGTTTTTTTGTTTTGTTTTGTTTTGCTTCTGTGTTAGCCATTCTAATATTTGTAGATTTTTGTCATTGTGGTTTTAATTTGCATCTTTATATTGACTGCAAATATTGACTATCTCTTAATGTACTTATCTGCCATTTATATTCCAAATTTTATTGCATTGTTCGATTTATAATTAATGACATTTAAAATTGTTTATATATTCTGAATACAACACCTTTGAAAGAAATGTGATTTGCATATATATCAGTCTGCATTTTTTCATTCTCTTAACCATGTGTTGTGCAAATCAAATGATTTCAGTTTTGGTGAAGGCAACTGATCCTTTTTTATTTTATGAGTTGCTCTTTTAATGCCATATGTAACAGCTTTTAGCCTTAGATATATAACTCTTGTTGGACTATGTTTTGTTTCAGTACTTTGAATGTATCCACCCACTAACTTCTGGCCTCAATGGTTTCTGATGAAAAGTCAATTGTTAATCTTATAGGATCCCTTTATACAATGAGTTGTTTTCCTCTTGCAGCTATTAACATTCTCTCTTTTTCTTCAGCATCAGCAGGCTAAATACCTTTCTTGCTCTGGATTTCTTTTGTTTAATGCTGTTTGGAGTTTGTTCCTTTTATTGGATGTGTAAGGTTATTCATCAAATTTAGGAAATTTTCATTTTCAAAAACACATATTGGATTTTTTTGTCCTTTCTCTCCTTTCCTGCTGATAATCCCACAATGCATATTTTGTACACTTACATTTGGGGTTCCACCTTTCTTGAGGCTCTGCTCATTTTTACTTGTTCATTTTGCTCTATTTTCTTTATATACATTGTCACTATCAATTTGTAGTCAAATTCATGGATTCCTTGTTCTGCTAATTGAAATCCACTGTTGAGAGCCTCTATTGAATTTATTAATTTCAGTTATTGTAGTTTTAAAATACAGATTTTCCGGGGCTGGCCCCGTGGCCGAGTGGTTAAGATTGCGCGCTCCGCTGCAGGCGGCCCAGTGTTTCATTGGTTCGAATCCTGGGCATGGACATGGCACTGCTCATCGAACCACGCTGAGGCAGCATCCCACATGCCACAACTAGAAGGACCCACAATGAAGAATATACAACTATGTACTGGGGGGCTTTGGGGAGAAAAAGGAAAAAAAATAAAAAATAAAATCTTTAAAATATAGATTTTCCTATTTTGAAAAATATTTTCTACCTCTGTATTGCTATATTGTATAGATTAGACATTGTCATCATAACTTCCTTTACTTTTCAAGCATGGCTTTTGTTCTTTTGGAAAACTTTATAACCATTGCTTTAAAGTATTTAGCTTAATATAACTTCTGGGCAATCTCATGGGCAGTTTCTGTCATCTGTTTTTGTCCTGTGTAAGGGTTACATTATCTTTTTTTTGCCCATCTCATAATTTCCTGTAAAATAGCACAGCCAGCACTCTAAATACTGATACTCTTCTCCTGGGGATTGTGTTATTGTTGTCATCTGGTTTTTATTTGTTTATTGAATTGACTGGGGTATGTCAGTTAAGTCTATTTCATCTGCTATAAGTTTTCTTATGTTGTTCCTCAGAGGGCACAGCCTTATGCAGGCACACAGTCACTCTGAGATGACAGTAGTTATAGGAGGATTCTCTTTGTTTCTTTTCTTGATCTCTCTGTCAAGCTGTCTGCATCTGTGTGTATCACACCTAGCTGTTAGGTTTCCTAATTGAAGACTGATTTTTCTATAGTTTTTAAAAACGTCATGGGAAAAAAAATCCCTCAGAGGTAAATAAAATAACTTGAAACACTGTGAACAAGTAATTTTTTGTAATCGTCTTTCATATTTGTTCTGATATTAGAATGGCTCTTATTAGCTGTCTCTTTACCTGGTATACTCACTGGTAGACAAGCTGGCCTATGGTTTAGCTTGTTGCTCTCATACCATTAACAGTCTTATCTCATTTACATACCTCTAAATCTGCATTGTTTTCTGGAGTGCCATTAGACTTGACTTTCCTCATACTGTGTTACAAATAAAGTCGTATTTCTAAAGAGAGCTTTAGTGCCCTCTGTTATTCAGACAAGCCTCTCACACTGGACAGAAATCTCTGATTCACTGCTCAGGAACTTGGGATAGGGGCAGTGACTTGCTTCTCTCATGATGACACTCCTGCCATATGTACAGGGTGCTGATTGGTGGTGGTAGATTCTGGGCTTCTCAACTTGCCTGACCTGGTCTTGAAACTCTGCCTGACAGTCATTCTCAGGCAAAGATGATCAGGGATACAGTATTCTTAGCCTGCCACAACCACAGTAGAGCCTCCACCCTATGATAGTGGGCTGAGTGTAGAAATAGTGCCCCTGACCTCTCACCACATGTACCTGGTATTTAGCCTCAGCAGCAGAAAGCTGGGAGTGGAGCAGATGAGAGATGCTGGCGATTTGCTCCTTCCATGAAGATACCATAATCCTTGAGCGGGAGCTCAAGAGAGTTAACCCCATAAAATAGGTCACATTCACCTCATTACTTCAGTCTCTAGGCTCTGGCATTCAGTTGCATATTTGTTTCCATATGTCTTGGTGTCCCAGACTAATCTGTCTAGGTGAATGAGGGCATTTAGTTGCAGGTCTCAAAAAGTAAAAATGCAAAAACATGCTCTAAAATTATTAATCTTGCTCAGGAAAAGGCTCAGAAATCTCACAAACTGAAAGCAATATAAGGACATCCATAGGTGCTTAGAACATTTTATATCTTGTAGATAATTCCTAGTAGGTGAGATAGGCTTTTTTTCACTCCTAGATCTGAAGGGAGCAAGGGATTTCTACTTTCCCCATCACACCGACCACTGATTATTCTCCCATTCTTTGCTTCTAGGATCCTGTGTATTTTCCCTGCTTATTTTGTGATTCAAGAGTTGAGGTATGTACTCAGGTAGAAAGACTCAGATTTTTGGATGACTAGCACAGTTTGGTGATGTGGAGTATATTTTCTGATTAATTATTGGATCTAGAGAATGCAAACCACTTGCTAGTGCTTTATATATAACAATGAGAAAAGAAACAGGATAAGGCATGCAATGATTTTTCTTCCATGAGCAGGAGAACTTAACAGGAGGGCTTAAGGGTTCATAATTCTGAAAATTTCCTTGGAAAAACTCCAAACTGTGAATGAATAACACTCAGGGAAGGGTGAGTATGGAAAGACAGTGGAGTGGGTGCTGTAGAGGTCCTTTGTGCAAATGCCAGTGGCCACTCACAGCCTGAAGACATTGAAGGGTTTTTGAAAGGAGCATGAATGGGTGATTAGGCTAGGCTGCCATCCTTAGACATTCGTTGTGTGGTACTCTACTCCAAAGAGTGGCAATCATGTGTAATTAGATGTGATTGACACCTCTGTGAGTGGAGTAACATGTGACACATGCGGCACAGGTGATGGCACTGTAGGTGCATTGGGAGTGTTTAGTTGCTTGCAGAGGGATGCTTTCCCTAGAGTCCAGACATTTCACCTACCTAATATCCTCCACTCTGTGGGACTAGCTCAGGGAACTCTCTGGATAAATTCTCAGAGGCAATTCCTAGGAACTGAAGGTCCTGGAGAAAACTTCCCATTGAGTTTCTTTTGGGATTCATATCCCTTTTACCAAAGTTGCTTGACTGAAATGGGAACAAGACTTTAGTGCTTTCATGGTGTTCCTCTCTACCTGTATTTGTCCATTTTTCAGAAATTATACCCTACCCCAAACCCCAAATATGATAAAATGTTCTCACCTATCAACCCCCCTTCCCATTTTCAATTATTTTGCTTCAGACTGTGGCAAATCCCCTCCTGCTTCTCAGATACCTACCGTGCTGAAGCTCAAAGTATTTTTTCCTCTCAGGTATTAAGCCTCCTTATTTCCTCATAGACCTATAAGATGCTCATTCTTATGAAAATATGTTTAAATCTAGTATAAGTCATCCGTTCATTAAGGCTTGTGCATCCTACCCAGACAATATTTTGTTTGATTATTTTATTTAGTTCATTTAAAAAATTATATATCTTTTGGGGCCAGCCTGGTGGTGTAGTGGTTAAGTTTGTGTGCTCCACTTCAGGGGCCCAGTGTTCACAGGTGCGGACCTAGCACTACTCGTCAAGCCTTGCTATGGCGGCGTCCCACATAAAATAGAGGGAGATTGGAAAAAACTTTAGCTCAGCAACAATCTTCTTCAAGCAAAAAGAGGAAGATTGGCAACAGATGTTAGCTAAGGGTCAATCTTCCTCACACACACACACACACACACAATTATGCATCTTTTGCTTTTCTGAGGGGAGGGGCTTAGAAATGGTAAGCACCATATGCCTGGGTGCCGCCATGTGGACTGGAGAAATGTCTAGGGAAGCAAGACACTAATTTCACATTCTTATGTTATACAAAGGGAGGTAACTTGATGCCTCCCTTCTTTAATTCTGATCAGGGTGTTGAGTCAGAAATAGCTCTTTGTGACATTTTGTCTATATTAATATGCTCTCTATATACACACTACTTCAATTCTTTGAAAAATTGTAGTTCCCAAGAGGAGGGATATCGCCTTCTCTTGTCTTTTGCCTTTATGCCTGATTTACCTCTGTCTACTGGGCACAGTGCTGTGATGGATCGTTTGATTTTATTTTTTCATTTTCTGTCATTTGATTAATTTTTTCGTGCATGTTTTTGAGGAAAGTTATACTGTTATAGACGTTTTATATGTCGGGTTTGGGTACAAAATGTGTTCTTTATGTGCTTTCTTATTTTTGTTTTAAATTACCAATTAGTTGGTTGCTGTTGTATTGTTTGTTCTTCAAAGCAACTGGGAAATGAAACAGCTGCATGCCCCAAGGCTCTCCCTCTCTTCCAGAGAGTGTTAGAGGCAGAATTTTCCTCTTGGGACACTGATCCTTAGAAATATCCATTTTAAAATATAAAATACATTAGAAAACTCCTTTTATGGTGTAGAGTTCAATGGGTTTTGAAAATGCCCATAGTCTTGTATCTAATACCAGGGTCATGATAAAGAAGGGTGCTACTACCTCCAAAAATCCCTTATGCTCCCTGTAGCCAGCCCCCACCCCAACCTAACCCCTGACAACTACTGCTCTGTTTTCCATCCTTATATTTTGTCTTTTTGAGGATGTCATATAAATGCAATCATACATTATGTAGCTCTTGGGTCTGGCTTCCAATACTTAAAAAATGTATTTGAGATCTATCCATATTTTTGTGTGAATGTATATGTATGTATGTATATATATATGAATATATATATAATAATTGCTAAATAACATTCTAGTCGCAGGTGAAGGAAATCTGGATTGTTTCCAGTTGTCCATAATTATGAATATACCTGCTTTAAATCTTAGTAGATAGAGTATTTGTGAATATATGTTTCATTTCACTTATATAGTTAAGCGTGAGATTGCTGAGTCACATGGAAAATGTATGTTCAAATTTATGAGAAACTGGATGAAAACATTTTCCAGAATGACTTCACCATTTTGTGTTTTCATGAACAATGTGTCAGAGATCAAGTTGCCCAAATCCTCACAAGCACTTGGTATTGACAGGCCTTTTTGTATGTTTTACTTTATGATTTTTTAAACCACTTTATTGAGGACTAATTGACATACAAAATGTTGTACATATTTAATACATACAACTTGATGAGTTTGGAGATAAGTGTATAGCTGTGAAACCATCATCATAATCAGTGCCATAAACATGTATTACTATTTTTTAAATTGAGTTCATAATAGTTTAAAAGTTTGTGAAATTTCAATTGTACATTATTATTTGGCTTTGTAGAACGAGTTAGGAAGTTTCCCCTCCTTTTCAATATTTTGGAAGAGTTTGAGAAGGGTAGGTATTAAATCTTCTTTGACTCTTTGGTAGAATTCTCCAAGGAAGCCGTCTGGTCCTGACTTTTATTTTTTGGAATGTTTTTGATTACTGTTTCAATCTCTTTACCTGTGATTGGTCTATTCAGACTATCTATTTCTTCTTGATTCAGCTTTGGGAGGTTGCAAGAGTCTAAGAGTTTATCTATTTTTCTAGATTGTCTAATTTGTTGACATATAGCTTTTTGTAGTTTTTTCTTATAATCTTTTGTATTTCTGTTGTATCTGTTGTACTTTCTCCTCTTTCATTTCTAATTTTATTTATTTGAGTTCTCTCTTTTTTTTCTTTGCCAGTCTGGCTAGGAGGTTTGTCAATTTTGTTGATCTTCTCAAAGAACCAGCTCTTTGTTTTATTGGTCCTTTCTACTGTCTTTTTGTTTTAATTGCATTTATTATTGCTCTGATTTTAATTATTTCCCTCCTTTCTGCTGACTTTAGGCTTTGTTTCTTCTTTTTCTAATTCAGTTACGTGTAGTTTGAGTTTGCTTATTTGGGATTTTTCTTGTTTAAGGTGAGCCTGTATTGCGATGAATCTCCCTCTTTGTACCACTTTTGCTACATCACGTATGAGTTAGTATGGTATGTTTTCATTTTTATTTGTCTCCAGATATGTTTTTATTTCTCGTTTAATCTCTTCAATGATCCATTGGTTGTTCAGTAGTGTTTATTTAGTCTCTACATCTTTGTCCCTTTCACAACTTTTTTCTTGTAGTTGATTTCTAGTTTCATAGCATTACCGTCAGAAAAGATGTTTCTCACTATATCAATCTTCTTAAATTTATTGAGGCTTGCCTTGTTTCCCAACATATGGTCTATCCTCGAGAATGTTCCACGAGTGCTTGAGAGGAATGTATATTCTGCTGGTTTTGGATGGAATGTTCTATATATATACTAAGTCCATCTTGTCTAGTTTTTCATTTAATTCCACTGTTTCATTGTTGACATTCTGTCGGGATGATCTATCCATCGATGTGGGTGGGGTGTTGAGATCCCCTACCGTTATTGTGTTGTTGTTAATGTCTCCTTTTACATTTGCTAATAGTTGCTTTATGTTCTTTGGTGCTCCTGTGTTGGGTGCATAGATATTTATAAGCATTATGTCTTCTTGGTGGAGTGTCTCTTTGATCATTATATACTGTTCTTCTTTGTCTCTCTTCACCTGTCTTATCTTGAAGTCTACTTTGTCTGATATAAGGATTGCAACACCAGCTTTCTTTTGTTTGCCATTAGAATGGAGTATCATCTTCCATCCCCTCACTCTGAGCCTGTGTTTGTCACTGGAGCTGAGATGTGTTTCCTGGAGGCAGCATATTGTTGGGTCTTGTTCTTTAATCCATCCCCCTACTCAGTGTCTTTTGATTGGAGAATTCAATCCATTTACATTTACAGTGATTATTGATATATGAGGGCTTAATGCTGCCATTTTATCACTCATTTTCTAGCTTTCCTGCATTTCCTTTGTCTCTCGTCCCATACATCTTGCATTACCAATTCAGTTAGGAAGTTTTTTGTGCTGGCCTTTTTTTCCTCCTCATTTATTATTTGTGTCTCTGTTCTACTTTTTTGTTTAGTGGTTACCATGATGTTATCATGAAAAATCTCTTTGATGAGATAGTCCATTTTCGGATGACCTCTTATTCTCTTAGGCTAAGCTTATTCAGTCTCTTTCCTCTTCCCCTCCTATGTTGTTTTTGTCACATCTTATTCCGTCTTGTGTTGTGAGTTTGTGGTTAAAATGACAAGACTTTCTTTGTTGTTGGTGTTTGCTTCCCTTTGTCTTTAATGTTTTACTGTGTATTTGCTAACCTGTTCTGATGGATAGCTACAATTTTCTTATTTTGTCTACCTATTTATCTCTTTACTCAGGGCTTTTTAACACCTTTCTTCTATTTTTTTTCAGGTATGAGGGCCTTCTTGAGGATTTGTTTGGCAGGGGGCATCTTGTGGCAATCAACTCCCTTAGCTTTTGTTTATCTGAGAAAGTTTTTATTTCTCCATCATATCTGGAGGATATTTTTGCTAGATAGAGTATTCTTGGCTGAAGGTTTTGTCTTTCAAAGATTTGAATATATAATTCCACTCTCCCCTACCCTGTAAGGTTTCTGCTGAGAAATCTGCTGAAAGCATGATAGGGGTTCCTTTGTGAGTTATTTTCTTCTGCCTTGCTGCCCTTAGCATTTTTTCTTTGTCATTAACTTTTGCCAGCTTCACTACTATATGCCTTGCAGTAGGCCTTTTAGCATTGATATTTTAGGAGATCTGTTGGCTTCTTTCACATGGATTTCCATCTTTTTCCCAAGGTTTGGGAAGTTGTCCACTATTTCTTTGAACAAGCTTTCTGCTCCATTCTCCTTCTCTTTTCCCTCTGGAATACCTATAATCCTTATGTTGCATTTCCTAATTGAGTTGGATATTTCTCAGAGACTTTCTTCATTTCTTTTTGGTCTTACTTCTCTCTCTTCCTCCATCTGAAGCATTTCTATATTTCTGTCCCCAATGTTGCTGATTCGTTCCTCTATGATATCAGCTCTAT